TTGAAGCATCTCAGTCACTTGGGACTCTATTTCTAATTTAAGTGTCGGAGAATACCGATAAGAACGAACTGCCACTGGTTGAGCACCCGCAATGAGAGGAATGCGGTGGTCGCATGCACATCGTGGGGGCAGCTCAGATGGTGCTGCAAAGAGGGCCTAAAATTCATCCAGTGCACTCTGCACTGCTGGAAGCACATCAGAAACTTGGCGAGAACTTGCTTCATCATAAATCTGGAACAGTTGTACAAATGCACAGCGGGGGTACTCATTAGTGATTCCCTGGAGGGTGACATGTGACTGCTGATAGGGTATTGTCATCCACTTGTTACCCCAATGCACCTTCATATGAGAGAACCGTTCCAACCAGTCCATGCCGACTATGATGTCAAAATGTTCCAACGGCAGGATTTTCAGAGTGGAGGTGAACACACACCCTTGTACTGACCATTCAGCTGAGGATAATTCAGAACTACAGATGATAGTACTGACATCAGCAACCTTAATAGAAACCGGCTTCGACAGCAAAGAACAACCAACCAAATCCTGGGCAAAAGAGGTACTGAGAAATGAATGGCTGCTCCCCGAATCCACAAGTACTAAGACCTCACGACTGGCCAAGCTTCCCATGAACTGCATAGTGCGAGGGGCTGCTGCTCCAGAGACAGCTGCTACCGACAAAAGCATGCAAACTTGAGCATCTTGTTCATCAACGGTCGGCTCTAGGACTGGTTCCTCCTCTATCTCAGAGAACTCATCTTGACACAGGTTCCACACTGCCTGAAGCGCGTGGAGTTGGACAGCAGGGGCACATCGGTGGCCAGGTGCCCACTTCTCGGCGCAGCGAATACAGAGACCTTGAGCTTTACGGAAGGAACGCAAGGCAGCCAGCTTTGCATCAACGGTCATGCCGCGGGCAGCCTGCTTCTTGTCATCAGCAGCCGGTGCATTCGCCTAGGGACACTGAAGCGATGCCTGATAAGGCAATGCGCCCCTGACGAACTTGGCAGCAACTGCACCTTCTGGCTTCTTGAAATCCCGTCGTTTCCCTTGATCGCTCGCCTCTTCCTGCAGCAACGCAAGAGTGCAAGCAGCATCGAGAGTAGCAGGGCGTTGCACAAGTATGACAGAACGGATGTCGTCGCGCAGCCCATCGACAAATCGAGTAACAAGGTAGAGCTTATCGGGGTTGGGATTATATGCTTTGAGTTGGTCGACCAGCTCGGTGAACCGATCCACATACTCAACGACAGTGGAGGTTTGGTGGATGTTATAGAGTTGGTGGAGAATAAGTTCATGCTGGTCACGGCTGAAACGTTCATGAATCAAGGCACAGAAGCCAGACCAATTGAGATCCTTGAGAAGATGTTCGACGGACTAGAGCCAACGGCCCGCAGCCCCCTTGAATTGCATAGTGGAACAGCGAACCCACACGCTAGGATCAACGAAATAAATTTCAAAGTAAGTCTGGGCTTGCGTAATCCAAAGCTGGGCATCATCACCATAGAAGGGTGGGAAGTCAAATTTCGGAAGCTTGCCAGTGGGGACATGATGATGTGACGATGGAGATGGGAAGGTGGATTGGAAGGTGGAAGGTGCTTGAGCCGAAGAGGAATAGTAGGGCTAAATTTGGTAGTGAGGTGGAGGGTAATAGTAATTGAACTGAGGATCAGAATGAGTAAGAGATTGACTCTGGTGCTGTAGTGGCGGACTGTGGTGGGGAATGGGTGGTGGGGGATGGTGGATTGGTAGATTGGAACGGAGATTGGGTGGATTGGGATGATGATTTGGTGGAAGAGGATGAGGGATTGGCGGATTGGGTTGTTGAATTGGTGGATTGGGTTGGTGAATTGGCGGATTGGACTGTTGAATTAGAGGATTGTGGTGGGCGAACGGATGATGATGAACGTTCTGCGGAGGTGGGCGAGTATGAGGATGAACTGGAAAGTAAGCAACAGGCTGCGTAACATGACCCATTGAATGTGAAAATGAATTGAACTGGGTCGGATGAACTTCAAACTTACCATTGTTCGGGGTCGGAACCAGGGTCGTGACTGACCCGTAGCCCTGCTCCCGAGCCACTGGTGCAGAGCCGTGCCCACTGGGCCAAACGTGATTCTCGTCGGCTGCCGACGAGTTGCCGATGGTCAGCCCACCGGGTTGGGAGTACCCTGCTCCTGGTTGCGCCGTAGCGGTTCCTAGGGGAGTTCGATCCCAAGCTTGGTGATCCAGTGCGTGCTCCGGGGAGATCTCCGCTCCTAGTTGCGCCGTAGCGATTCCCAGGGGAGTTCGATCCCCACCCCGCTTGAGGCGCCTGACCTCCAGCTGCACGTTGTCGAGGGTACCTTCGAAGTAGGGGTGCCACTCCTCAATCGTGGCCACAGCCACCTCCAGCGTGGCCAGCCTGTCGCCGCCGTCGCCGTGCAGCTCCCGTAGCCAGATCAGCTCGAGGTCGCCCACGTGGTACTCCACTTCCTCGATCCACTGCTCGATCTCACGGCCCCAATTGTCGGCGACGATGGCGGTGTGGGACTGTTCACCGCAGAAGCGCTCCAGCATGCCGACGCGGTGCCGATGGCCGACCCGAGCTCCTCCAGCCCCCGAATCTGGTCCGCGGAGTTCTTCGCTTGGGCGGACATCGCCTCCTCCAGGTGTGCGACGCGGTGCTCCATGGCGGCACCCTGCTCCTTGCGCTCCTGCTCGCTGTCGGCGGCCGTCTTCTCCCATCGCCCGCAGCGCTCATCGATTGAATCGAGCCGCTTCAGGATCTCCTCAAACGCCGTCTTCACGTTGGGCTCCATCACACCGTGAGCTCGCTGGAGGCGCGTGTAGTGTGGATGCGCCGACTCCAGAGCTCCGCCGAGGAACGGTAGCTTTGATACCAGTTGTCAGCACCCTTGGCTGATCGCCGCCGGGATGCCGAGCTCGAGAACGGGACAACAACGATACGAGTACCCGGACCGACGAGGGCCGGTTGAGTAGCAGTAGAATAATAGAAATTGGTTTGATGTTTACAAGCTTATCTCTCCTTCTCGCCTTAGCGCTACTTATCCTTAGCTGGCTCGCAGGCACATCTGATGCTTGCCCATTGTGGGCCAAAGACTAGAGAGCTCCTGGGCCGGCGTCGCTTACTCCTTCGAGGCCCATTGTCTTGAGACGCCTCAGGTGGAAGGGTGCTGACAGTTTGAAGCGTATGTTCCAAATGTTTCATCTATTTCAGACATATGTTGCAAGTGTTTTATCTGGATGTTGCAAAAAGTATATCTGGATGTTGCATATATATATGCATGTTGCAAGCGTATGTTTCAAGTTTTTTAGATGTTTCATACGTATATTGCAAGTGTTTCTCTGGCTGATGCATATGTTTGCAATGGCTATATACGTGTTTTCAAGTTTTTTTTCCTAGTGTTTGTAAGTGTTTCAGACGCATGTTGCAAATGTTGTAGCTATTTCGAACGTGTGTTGCAAGTGTTTTATCTAAATATTGTAAAAGTAGATCTGATGTTGCACATATTATAATGAGACACACCTGCCACAGTCGCATGCTGTAGCTGCTGGGGCGCCGTGGTTCACCGTGCGGGCACCTAAGGCCGACAGACGCATCCACGACGTCCATCCACAGAAGGTCAAGTGAATGGGACCCACGTGGGGTTTCTCGCATGCACGTGCCGCGATTAGGCGAAACAGAGCGCGCGCGATGGTAGGGCGGCAAGCAGCATGGGGTCCACGAGGTGGGGTGCATGAAAACATGCAGCATGGGCACCATTTCAATTGCTATGTTGGTTTCGAAAGCCCCACTCCTTAGGCGCACGGCAGCGTCCAACGCTAGTGCTTCGAAACGGACGTCTGGACGCTAGCAAGTTTGATTATGGATTTTTTTTCTTGGCCTGTTATAGGAGTTGAAGGAAAGTCTGTTTTGTAATTTTTCCAGCTTTGTTGTTGCTTTTAATCCTCGCTCTTGTAATCTCGTTGCGCATAATCTAGCTGCCCTTAGGGCAAAGTTATGTGCGGGTACTAATCTGATTATGGATAGTATTTCACCTTGTATTGACGTTCTGGTGACCAATGATTTGGCATCAGGTTATGAGTAATGGAGATTTCTTCCATGTTAAAAAAAAAAGAATCAGACGCCGTTATCCTGATGAATCAATCAATCAATTGTTATCATCAGTATAAGACAGTTACGGGGCCAGTGTGATTCTATCGCACGAATCGTGAGGCAGGGTCGGAATCAGATTGTTCTCCGGAGCAAGAAAGGCCAAATACCGAGAGGGACCAGTAGGATGCGGCCAACTCATGTTAACCCGAATCTTTTGTTCTCTCTTCGTATCATCCAGGGTGTTTAGGAATTCATTCAGTTATCCTAGTCCCGCATCGCAAGCCTCCTCCTTGGCTCGCTCGTCGTCTCGTCGCCTTAATTTGCCTCTGCTCTTCCTTGCTTGCCCTGCTCCTGCTCCCTTGCCTTCTCCGCGGCCTTTGCATCGCATCCTTCCGTTTCTTCCTTCCTCTCTCTGTTCGTGGACGTGGAGAAAGCCAGCAGGATCTTGGCGGCGGCCAGAGACAGACGTGATGCGTGCTATAACGCGTCTCGTGCCGTGAAAACCACCTCGCGCCTTTTCTTTCTGCCTCAGCTAGTCGGCTGGCTTCCGTTCTCTTTGCCCAGGACCCAGGTAGCCCTTTTCACCACCTCCATGCATGCCTCTTTCTTCCCCCCTTCTACCCTGAGCGAGCTCAGCGAAAAAGATGGTCGAAAGGAGACTCTTTTCAGCGGCCTCGTGCCATGTCCGTGCTCCCGTGTTCGTAGATAGCATAGCACAACGTTTTCGTACCGGAGATGGTGGTTGTCACCTGGTTCAAAATTCAAATATGAGTTTGGCGGCGTTTGTTCTGAACTCTGAAGAAACTTTGTTTCAGCGTTCCAGCGATCGCCGCTGCATGCCGACCACAGGTTTGTGCTGATTCCATCTCCAGCGTCTGCGTCTCCGGAAGCTAGCAGCTCGAGGATGGCGGACCACTTCGCGCTGATGACGGGCCGGCTGCTCACGGAGTCGACGCTCCAGTCCGCCGTCCACGGGGCCTTTGCCGATGCCGTAGCTTCCACCACCGCCGCCGGCTATGACCAGACCGATCCCTCCGTCGTTCTTCTTGAAGATGTTCAGCTGGGCATGGGCAAGGGCAAGGGCAAGGCCAAGAGTGGTGTCATGGTGGAGTGCAGAATCTGCCAAGAGGAAGGTGACGAGGCTTACATGGAGACCCCCTGCTCCTGCAAGGGCAGCTTGAAGGCGAGCTTAATTTCCTCTGCTTCTCTTTTCGGTGTTACAGCTAGCTTATATGAAACTTACACCTTCATGTTCAACCCCGATCGCAAATAAGAAAAAAGAACACACAAAGAAACTAGCCTTGATTGATGCTGCACAGAATAACCAGCCAACAAGTTTGAAACCTGTTTGAAATTCATTACTCCATGCTCAATCATGGATATTGCATCCTCTCCTCTGATAGTATTGTCTTAAACTCCAGCAAATTGCTGGCTACATTATTATATTTTTCATTTCTTGCAAGATGCTACTGGGTAACAAACTTACTAGGCAACTTACTATTACAACGCAATTCAGGCATTTCTTGTGTTATCAGTTATCGAGACTTACCAACCGATTATTTTCTTTGCATTCTATTTCCATTAATGGGCAACAGATTTTTGTACTGTCCCATGAACGGAAGTTTTACTTGCATCAGTTTGTTGCTGGTTGCAGTATGCTCACCACAGATGCGTCCAGCGGTGGTGTAACGAGAAGGGAGACACCATATGTGAGATATGCTTGCAGGTAACGCTTTCCCAAACTTCCTTATAATAACCAATCATTCTCAACAGAATTACTAGTACATGACAAGAAGCAGCTGAATATATTTTAGCACTTTTCTTTTCATAATAGAAATTTAGTTTTTTCCCCTTAAGCTGAAAATGTCCATTTCTGATTTACTATGTAGTCATAAAAAGGATGAGAAAAAACCACTATTGAGTCTACGGTGCTGAATGACAGGATATTACTGTTGTCTGATTTGTTTTTCTCCGCTCTTGATGCCACAGCAATTGAAACCAAACTACACTGCTCCTTTGTTTCGGCACGGAAGGAACCTAATAAATTTAAGGTACCAATCGGTGCTTTATGCCTCTATCTCTCTGAAAAAATGGACATTGCAAAGATCTGAAAGCTGATCATTCATGAATCACCTAGTAATTAAAGTTAATCCCATTATAGGGGAGCTGGAGAAATACGAGGTGCTAGTTATGGTCAAACCTCGGATCAAACTGATGGCACGTCAAGCGTTGATTCTCAAAGTCCCAACCTGAAAGGCGTCATATATTGCCGAGTAGTTGCCATTGCTGTAAGTGTTACAAAGGGCAAATTTTCTACTTTATCATGAGTGTTCATTCTGGAGTCAACTGTTTTTTTTTTTTTTGGTTAATACACTTCCAGTTGATGGTTTTGTTGGTGCTCCGTGACGCAATCTTGCTTATACTCCGCAACCATGAAGTGTGCTCAGTAAAGCTAATCACTGTAAGGCAGTAAATCTGATATCTCATTATTATCTTCCTAATCCTTATTTATATCCAAACTGAACACCTGAACTGTGCAAATTACTCTGCCGATACAGCTGCTGATGTTCAGAACGGCTGGAATTGTCATACCAATCTACATCATCTTGATATCAATTACCGCATTGCTTCATTCGTGCAATCAACGACAGATCTTTAGAATCCAGGTCCATTTTGCATTCCAATTCCAGCTTCTTTAAACGAATCGTGCAGGAGAGCTGCCAACTATTATATTGATAAAGAAGAAGAATTCCATTTTCGTTAAAAAAAGAAGAAGAATAATTCCAATTCCAACTTCATTTAGAAATAATCACAATGTGAACTTTCATGAAAATGCAGGCTGTGCACGAGATGCCGGTTTCAGAACCTCGTGGAGCATGGGGTTTGCAGCATATCATAAACATTTGGTAGGAAGCTGCACGGTGATTCCTGGTCAGGCAGGCTCTGTAAATATCTGAAAAATGTTTGAGCTTCAGGCTTGTCATAATGGGGTTTGGAAGATACAGAATCATTGCGCGATTGTGTAGTGTTTCATAGTAGATTCTATGTACAAAAGAAATTCTGAAAATACAGCCAGTCAACTTCACAAATGATGAAGACGAAGTTGGATTGGTGTCTGTAAGGAAAATTGAGTTAAAGTTGTACATGCATTCATGTCAAAGATTATAGGAAAAACAGTACGCCCCTCTCCCACACACCAAACTATTTGCTTTACCCCCACACAAATTCCAACTCATTCAAACTTGTCAATTCCACTACTACAAAATATTTATCCGTGTCGGGCGTTTTGGGTTTCCCGCGGCGGGCAAACCGGTCCGCCGCCGCCGAAAGGCCATGGTAAATCGTGGCTTCCCGCGGCGGACAACTTTGCCCGCCGCGGCAAATCGTTCAGGAAAAACAAAAAAAAGGAAAAAAGCCCACACGGGCTTGGATCCGGGCCGCACTAAACCTAGATCCCGCCACCGCCGTCGATTGGATCCGCCGCAGCTCCAACCCGCCGCACCGCCGGAGGGAGAGGAAGGGCCGGGGTGGGCGCCACGCCCACCGGATCTGCGCCGCCGTCGATTGGGTGGGAGGGAGACGACGCCCCGCCGTGGTTCCGCGACGTCGCGGCGGGTTGGGGCCGCCCCTCCGTGGATCCGTGCCGTCGCGGCGAGTTGGCGCCGCCCCTCTGTGGATCCGCGCCGGACGGGCACGCCGCTGCTCGCCACCGTGCGCGGAGGAGCACCCGTCGCCACTGCTCGCCACCGTCGTCGGGGATCTGCAAGGGTGCGAGTGTGAGAGGGACAAGATCCACCATTGATCTGAGAGAGAAGAAAGAGGGCTCCACACCTTGCGCCGGATCCGCCGCCGCCGCCGGGGCCTCCATGCCGACGTCGGGGCCTCCACGCCGGTCGGAGGAGGGAGAGGAAGGGGCGTCGTCGGGGCCTCCACCGCCGGCCGAAGGAGGGAGAGGAAGGGGCGCCGTCGGGGCCTCCACCGCCGCCATCGGGGCGGCCTGACCAGGAGCGCGTGGGGAGGAAGAGAGGGAGGAGGAAGAGAGTGGGGAGGAAGAGAGGCCGACTGCGCGACAGGAACAGAGTGGGGAGGCTGACTGCGCCCCCCGAAACCCTAAGTATACCTATATATACGTGTAGACGAATATCGGGCTAGCTTGGGCCTGATGGGCCTAGGCCTTTTCTGTGGCGGGCTTTTAACGTTGTCCGCCACGGTAAATTGATTTACCGTGGCGGACACCTTACAATGCCCGCCACGGTAAATAGGGTATTTACCGTGGCGGGCATCTTAATATGTCTGCCACGGTAAATCGATTTACCGTGGCGGGCAAAAGTGCCCGCTGCGGTAAATAAAAAATGCCCGCCACGGTAAATCGTGGGATTTACCGCAGCGGGCAAAAATAGGTGCCCGCCACTGAGTGCAAAAGTGCAACGCTGCACATATTCGTTTGTGTAGTAGTGTTCCTATGAATTTTTTCATCCCCTGATTATGATTTTTGCTTTCAAATTTTGTCTAGTGACATAATTTTTTTGAAATTTAATACATAAATCTTGGAATTTATAGCATTAACAGAAAAACTAGGTAAATCACCCTAGGTTTGAATTGCCATTCTCCGACAACGACATCAGTATGTCATTTTCGGGAACTCCAGAGCACCAACTCTTATATGGAGCAGTTTCACTTTGGAGTTAGCCTCCAGTTATGGTAGAGGTCACTACCGGAGACGGCTTCTTTGCCGAGTGTCCCAGACTTTGTCGAGTGCTTTTTATCGGGCACTCGACAAAGAGGCTATTTGTCGAGTGCCAGAGAGAAAACACTCGACAAACAGCTAGCACTCGGCAAAGAGGTGGTTTGTCGAGTGCCGAGCACTCGGCAAACAATAACACTCGGCAAAGACCAGGTTTGCCGAGTGTCAGGAGAAGACACTCGGCAAAGGGTCACCGCCGTTAACGGCCGGCAGCCGCCGTTAACTCTTTGTCGAGTGTCTTCTCCTGACACTCGACAAAGAGATGATGTGCTGAGTGTCAGGCAAACTATATTTTTTTCATTTTTGACCTCCAAACTTTTTCTGCAGACCTCATACAATACCTGGTACTCCATGTTCCAATGTGGCACATTTCTCGGACTTTTTCTATATTTCTTTAATTTATTTCATTTAATTGAATTTTCTTGGATAATTCAAATTATAAATGCTAGTCATTCGAATAATGAAAAAAATAAATGGAAAAATGATATTCATGTTATTTAGTATAATGTCAGGCCGTATCCAGGAACAGACCATCAATTTCGAACATCTTGTTCACGAAACATGACCACGAACTTGCGGTCGAGTTGTTTTTAAATTCTATAAAAAACAAACGAAGACCGAAAATCATGAAACTTGTCAAGATGTCATGATATCATATGTGGAGGCTGTGATAAAAATTTAAGAAGGTTTCGCACAAGTTGTCACATACGATGCTTGCAAACCAAAGAATCTTCGAAGAAGTTTCATGATTTCGTGAAGAGGCCGACGAGGTGGTAAGCATCGTACATGACAAACTTGCGCGAAACCTTCTCAAATTTTTATCACAGCCTCCACATATGATATCATGACATCTTGACAAGTTTCATGATTTTTGGTCTTCGTTTGCTTTTTATAGAATTTAAAAATAACTCAACCGCAAGTTCGTGGTCATGTTTCATGCAGATATTTCCATATTTAAAACCGTATCTGTTTCGAATTGTCCACGTTTTTTGGACAGCCCGCGGATGCGTAGGTGGGGTTAGTTTCCATGGTTTGCTCTGATCCGAGATAGAGTTTTGGTATCATCTCTCTATTGTTCTCCGGATACACACTCTCCCTAGTAGGACGTGTATTTGGAGAACAGTGGGGAGGTGCTGCCGAAATTCTATCTCGGATAGAAGTAGAGCATGGAAACTAACCTCATCTACGGATCCTCGCATGGAATTAGGACCTATCCTCACCTATTAGATAGTAGGAACGTCGTGTAGATGCAATTGATGTTTATATTACTCGCCGCTATATATGTTAGAGGATGGACGACCGTGAGTGGATGTACACGGGCCGCGCAAGTCAGGATCAGGTCACCAATGAATGGATCGACAAGACCGATACTTTCTTGAAACGGGCATTTGGCGTGGCTGCTAAAGGAGCGAGTAAAATTTGTTGTCCCTGCAGCAAATGTGCAAACAGGAAAAGACAAATGAAGAAGGACATGGGGGGACATCTTTGGAAGAATGAATTTACGACAGACTATAACCGGTTGGTCTACC